ATATTGAAAAAGCGTCACACCGACAGAGCGTCACATTGACAGAGCGTCACATCAAGCGTCACATCAACAGAGCATCACATTGACAAAATGTCACACCGACAGAGCGTCACAGCGACAGAGCGTCACAGCGACAGAGCGTCACATCGACAGTGTCACACCGACAGAGTGTCACATCGACAGAGTGTCACACCAACAAAGCGTAACATCGACAGAGCGTCACAACGGCAGAACGTCACACCGACAGAACGTCACATCGACAAAGCGTCATATCGAAAAAGCGTCAAACCGACAGAGCGTCACATCGACAGAGCGTCACATCAAGCGTCACATCAACAGAGCATCACATTGACAAAATGTCACACCGACAGAGCGTCACAGCGACAGAGCGTCACATCGACAGAGCGTCACATCGACAGTGTCACACCGACAGAGTGTCACATCGACAGAGTGTCACACCGAGTGTCAAATCAACAAAGCGTAACATCGACAGAGCGTCACACCGGCAGAACGTCACACCGACAGAACGTCACATCGACAAAGCGTCATATCGAAAAAGCGTCAAACCGACAGAGCGTCACATCGACAGAGCGTCACATCAAGCGTCACATCAACAGAGCATCACATCGACAGAATGTCACACCAACAGAGTGTCACATCAACAGAGTGTCACACCAAGTGTCACATCAACAAAGCGTAACATCGACAGAGCGTCACACCGACAGTGGCACATCGACAAAGCGTCACACCGAAAAAGCATCACATCAGAGCGTCACACCGACAGAGCGTCACATCGACAGAATGTCACACCGACAGAGCTTCACACCGACAGAACGTCACACCAACAGAGCGTCACATCAAGCATCACATCAACAGAGCGTCACATCGACAGAGCGTCACACCGACAGAACATCACACCGACAGAACGTCACACCGACAGAGCGTCACATCAACAGAGCATCACACCGACAGAGCTTCACATCAACAAAGCATCACACCAACGGAGCGTCACACCGATGGAGCGTCACATCAGAGCGTCACACAGACAGAGCCACACCTACA